TTTATTGTGCATTAGTCAGTATTTTACATGTGATAGCTTAATCCCAACTATACATATTAAAGTAACACTTATGACCTGTGGGAGCAATGAGGAAATCAAATTGGTACACTGCAGGAAGCTCCTCAATCTGGCCTTTCCAGCTGTTACTTTCTAAGAAATGGAGAGTATGTCTGAAAAGCTTTATATCTTATCCTGTGAAAATCTACCCCCCCACCCCCCAAACAACTTCTCAGTATGGATGATTTGGAAGCTACAACAGCAAAAGCCAGGCTGCAATAAGGGGTGCTGCTAACTGAGACACCCATGGCAGCCAGGGATGGTTTCTGCAAGGGACGAGGAGGTTGACTTTGCATCTGAATGATCATTCTACTGCTCTGAATGCCAGATGCACCTCATGGCTTCTGCAGGTCCTCAATGATGGTCCCAATTTCTAGTGTCACTGCTTTCCATGGCAATTTACAAACCCTGCTGCTTTTTCCCTCCGTGTGCTTAAAACATAGCTGTTCTTCTCATGTTGCCCAGGCTGCAAAATGGCACCTGGGCTTTGAGAGCTGGATGGAGCTTTCCTTTCTTGTCTACCACGACTGGGAAGAAAGCTCCTGCAGGCGACATTTTGTCCTCAGTTACACTTAAGAAATGTCACATTCTCTTCCTTGTTCAGCTTCTAACCAGGGCACAGCAAACAGCTCTGTTACTTATATGTAAGAAAAAGTAGAGTTATTCTGCTTCTGCAGCTGCATGTTCATACTAAAGGTATTTAAAAGTGTATTTTGCCAGCACCTCTGACTGAGCACATAGCAGACAGAGCTGCTCAGCAAAAGGTGCCATTTCTGGTCTAGTCCTATCTCAGAGCACATCACACCACGAGTCTGACATATCACTGCTTTGTATCTTATCTGTCTACTGCACAGTCAGTGGAAAACTCTGCATGCAGCTCCCAGCGTCTCTCTGATGCTTGCCAAGTTTTTCTGCATTTCTAAGCACAAGTTCTGCCTGTGATACCAAGGAAACTGTCTTCCCCCACTTTAAGACTCCTACGTGAGATCCCACCCAGTGAGACACGGAGCAAAGAATGCATCCGAACGCTTGTGCCATGGGCAGGTAAAATATTCTTCTCCACTGGTCTTGCACCAGTTACCTGGTACCTAATTCCTGAGCCCAAGGACCATCTCACCACAGGAAACCGAGGGAACACCATCAGAAAGACAAAGGAGGTGCTGGTGTAACAGGTGTTCAGGAGAGGTTTTGGCCAGCCCTCCCCTCTGCTTGTTTTGCTTGGTGCTCGTACGCTAGACTTCAAAAGGAAACTCTTTTGAAGGATGCCTCCTTTATTCTGATCATGCTATATTGCTATCATGTTGCATCTTCACCGGTGTTGCTAAAAAAAAAAAAAAAAAAAAAGAGAGAGAGAGTTTTAAAAGAAGTGAGACAGCTGAGCTCAGGACATTTGTTCCGAGGCAGGGGATTCCCTCCTCACCGCCACGTGTCCCCAGGGACCTGCCAGTTGTCACCGTGTTCCCCGGTTCACATGTACTGGGAGACGTACGGCCAAGGCCATGTTCTCACTCGGCTTAGGCTGCGGATTAGGGCTCAACGTCAAGTTACCACAGTTCAACAAGTTTCCATGAGTCAGCTGAGCTGATGTTTCTGCCCATGTGTGTGCTTCCAGCACACAACAAATGCGGCTTAGCCTGGTCTGCAGTGAAAGAAAATTAAGCTAAGCCGCATTATTGCAGGTTTGCCGTCGGTGAAGAGAGCACACGCTGAAAGGTTCAGGGGCTCAGCCCCTGCGGGCAGCTGTTAAACCGTGGGGACTTGGTCATGTGTGAACAGTTCTAGTGTCAGTGTGGGATACACATAGACCTCGTCCAGCTACAGAAGTCACACGCTTCTGGCTTACTGTTTTAAGCAGCAGTGTCTAGAAAATTTGGAGGTCATGCTTTAAAACAGAGAACAAAAAAGGACAAAATGCTCCAGCAATAAGGTAAAAAATCCTACAAGATCCCGAGAACAGCAAGAGGAACAGCACAGCTCCTCAGGAACATCCACTGCCGTGAACTCACAGGGCTTCAATTAATGTTGAAACATAGATCTTTCTTCTGTCCCTCTCAAACCCTAAGTGCTCACAAAAACACGTGTGCTGGTTTTACAAGGGTTGTGTTCCCGTTTCCCTTCCCAAAGCACCCTAAAACAAACACAGGGTGCTGCAGATCGCACAAGCCATCATCCTCACTTCACATCTGCTGGCCCAGAGTTTGGCAAGCTGGCTGGGAATGCTGGATAAATGGGACTTTTCCATGGATTTAGTCTAGATGCGGGATCTACTCAATAATTCATTTTGACAATAAGCGAGTGAAGGTTACTTCTTTTGCATGCAACTAATACTGGAGAATGCATCTACAAAATTGAGAGGTGATGTGAAATAGTGTGTGCTGTCTGCCGTTCTGCTTGTATGGAAATATTGCTAATGGATGGCTTGGAAGTGTCTAACTCGCTGTGGTATTTTATACAGGATAGGTCATTTTGTCTTCAAAAGGTTTATGATGCGAATGGCAGCAAAGCAGAAAATTCCAATCTGAGGCGCAGCACACCACTGCTGTCCTGCTGATCTGAGGTCTGCAGATGTTCCTATCACAACTCCAGCTATGGATCACTTTTAAAGTATGTGCAGAGCCAGAGAAAGAAAAGGATAGTTAATAGTTTAAAACAATACCAGACATCAGTGGAAGTCAGGTAAAAGAATAATCTTTAGTTCACTCTGTAAATGTTTATACAGTAGTCTTATCTCCAGCTACGTCCTCTGCAGCTGTAGGCTAATTCTTATTCTTCCAGATTTTGTGAACTGTGGGAAGAATTACATCTCTGCTGGCCTGGAGTCATATCGCAGGTTGTGTTTTCAAGCACGTGTTGTATAGTACTGACACGTGAAGCAAGCCTGGCCCCAAAGCCCCAGAACTACTGAGCAGAAACAAACTGAGAGATTAGGTTCTGGGACAGAAATATCTTATAAAACAAAAAAGAGATGGAATGCAGTCACTTAAATAAAGGGCAACATTTAAAAAGTTTCGGTCACATGCAACTGCTTTCACAACGTTGAGAAGAAGATGGAACTGCAGAAGGTATCCAAGTTCACCTTCAGTAAATGCCAGCTTCTGTAGGTCTGGGCTGCTTTGGATCTGGGTGCCTGCGCTGTTCAGCGGGGTTCCTCTAGCGTCACCTAGTCCTGCCCGTGCAGGGGCGGTGATGGAGCATCCCGGGAGCAGCTGGGGCAGCGGGACTGGTCGTTCCCGTCTGACAGAGGGGGTGCTGATCAGCGCATGTCCACTGACCTTCCTGCAGCACCCCCCAGCAGTCTGGCCAGGCTCGTCCTGCTGCAAATCAACCCTCAAAGCAATCGAGAGGGAACATGGCTTTGAATATACATGAGGTGATGGATACGGGAGAGAGGGCCAGAACCTCTCCAGGTAAAGCAGAAAATTACCTTGAAGAAGGTAGGCACAGGCTCTCCTTTGAAGGGTTAGATTTGTGCACAGGATGTCTAATGAACGTAGATATAGAACATTTCCATCAGCTGAAAGAATTGGTGCAAAATTTGCCAGTGATGCTTGGAACAGCTAAAAGCACTAGGGATTGAAATCTGTTTGTGGTTGGGCCTCTTTTGCTTTCTCACTTCCCCCACATACCTCTGCTCGGTATTTTGATTAATATAATGGGAATATATCATCAACTGGATTTCTGTGATCATTTAAGAGAAAGGTGTGTGCCTGAAGACATTTATTGAGTGTGTAATTAGCCACTCATAATAATTTTAGCACAACTGATTAGCAATGTTGTTTTCAATTTATTTTTATTTTATTTTAATATGCTCTGTACTTCACACCTGGCAAAGCAAACGGTGTGGAAAATTAAGTCTAGGATTTTTTCTCTCAGTTATTGTACATGATAGCTAGTGTTCAACAAAAAATTATTCATACTCGGCTACTTCTTCATGACTTCTAATTAGTACTTAGCTAATCATCATCTGCAAAGCAGACTTATTTTACTTAGTTTATTTTAAATTAAGGCTACTGGGGATTAGCATCTACAAGGTCACTTGACAAAAAGCCAACCTTGCCTGTCAGACAAAGGTTACTCTAACGAGCTCACGAATTCCCAGCGCTGTGCACAGCCTACATGGGTACCTCTCCAACAGCATCACGGAGCAGACTTTAGCTAATGACAGATTAATACCGATTTAGTCAGCGTAATGCCTCCTGTCGCTAAAGCTTTTCCGTTGCAGCAGCAGCGCTTGTAAAGTCCCTAAGAAATCCCATGTATGTGTACTAGCTTTGCATACAGCAACTTTGACCAAAGGATGAAGTTCTGCAGCAGCAAATTTCAGAACTCCTGCATCTAGGCGAAAAGATAAACATTCAACATTTCTCTCAAGAGCTGATCTTTTTTTTGTTTTAATTTTTATATATATAAATATACCATAAAGCGTACCATTTCCTCGTTTCAGTACAGACTTTTTGAACTTTACTAAAATAAACGAAATATAAATGCTACAATTTTATGTTTAAAACAAGTTTTGATGATGGTCTTCCCCTAAGGGAAGGCCCAGAAACTCCGTTAGCTACGTGGAGAGAGACAAAAACCCCCCAAAACTTCATACTACGCAAGAGCATTCAGAACAGCAGATGTGCCTCAGCTGCGTGTCTGTGACTTCCTCACGTGAATGCCCACTCTCCTTAGTAGAAACTGCTTTATTACTAACCTGAAAATTTCACATTCAACATGTATCTCCCTTAAATTCATTGTCAAGACCCAGTTTTCCATATCTGTGTCTGCCTTTGCTGATCCCAAATGGCAAGAGGTATCATCAGTTGTGGATTTGGGGATCAGGATTGCAAATTGCTGAATTTTCAGATAAAGCCACACAAAATCAACCACTGTAAACCTAGGAAAAACCGTCCATCTTTGTTTTTTTCCCTTCTCCTTCACAACCTGGAAAATGTTCACAGCATTGAAACAACGAGGCGTAGAAGCAGGGGTGTGGACAATACACCCTGCACCCATTTTGCACTTTTATACTTCTTCCCAATCCTGTCTTTGACCTTAACTGGTGCCTCCTGGACAGGAGAGGAGGTTCCAGGTGAATCCTTCCCCACCCATCACAACCCCTTTGGTTCAACCTCTACTACACTTTCAGGTCCCGCAGGTGAATACTCAGCTACTAAAGCAGCAGTCTAAAAATCTGTCAGTGTGTCTTGCTGCCAAGGGTTTTGTTGTTGGTTTCCTCCTTCTCAACGTGTACTTTCCAAAATAGACATGTTAAAACAAAAACCAAAATGAAATCTTTAAAACAATGATAACACCACAATATCTGTTTAAAACAGTACTGCCCGTGCTCTGGACAAATTGTTAAGAGCAATTCAGCATTCTTATAATTAATCCACAACAAAAGAAGCTATAAGATGCCACAAAAGAAGGCATAATTGGCCATACAGAGGCAACACTACCATGAATGTTGTTTGGCAAGGAAAAAAAAAAAAAAGCAGATACATAATTAATCCAAAGAGCAGGTTCAGAACTGCCCGGCGCTGCTGGGATCACACTGCAGGAGACGGACTATGGATGGATCGCTCTTGGCGCCTCGGATGAACTCTTCCAGAGAGAGCTTTCCTAGAAAAAAAACACGTCTGCTTAGCTCACATGGTGGGTGGCAGCACACCTGCCAAGCCTCTGGACAAGCGTGGTGGAAGGAAGCTGGGGGAGCCCAAGGAAAACCCTTGGGAAAGCAACCCCGCAAGGCAAAGCCCTGCCTGCTTGTCCCCCGCTGGGGCTTTGTCTGGGTGGCTGAAGGAGGAGCCGTGGGTTTGAGGGGTCACCTCATGTGGGCAGGACACCCCAGTCACCCAGCACGGGGGCAAAGGTTGCCACCCCGGTGCCTGGAGGGTGCCTACCATCGCGATTGGTGTCCATCTGGCGGAAGATCTTCTCTGTCCTCTTCTCTGGTGTCGACTCGTCTTCCGGCATCTTCATTACAGAAGAAACCATCTTATAGATTGCCTGTGTGATATGACAGGAGCAAAGAGCTGGTAAGAAACACATTATCGTAATGTAGGGGTACGATTATCTCCTGGTGACAGAAATAGGCAGAAAATATCCCAGGAACATTGACTGGGACCTGCTGTCCGGATGCTGAAGGGAGCCAAGTGGCACCAGTGCATGCAGCTGCCCTCTTCTGTGGGATGCTCATTTATGAAATACTGTTTCCTTATTTAGTCACGGTTGAACACAGTCTGGGTTTGGACCGAGGTTACATTTTTCCTTATTAAAACAGTTTTAGGATGAATTTATCACTTGTACAGTGCATTAGGCACTGGCAGCTCCCGGTGCCTGGGGGAATGGTAAGACCACTGTGGCATGCCCCTGTGCTTTGGCCACCCAGGCTCCGTCCTCATCACCCTCATCCCCTCACCCTGCCTTCGCTTCCCCCCTCCATCTCCCTTCTCTCCCGCCTTGGTCAGCATCCTGCCCGCAGGGAGGGCAGTGACTCACTCCCCGCATTTGTCGTGTCTCACAGATCTGAAGACTTGACCAGCAACAAGGTGGCCTTTTCCTTGGGGACTGGTGTGCGTACACAGCTAAAAATCCCCATTCACGATTCGTTCCACAGAGAGCAGATGTTCTGGTCCCACATGGCACTGGTGCCACCCAGAGCTATTCTCTGCATGGACAAATCCATTAGTCACGTATGGTATTAGCCGCCCCTAAAAGAGAGGTAATGTTAATTTTAAACCAAGGATGAGCAGTTGTCTCTGAGTGGGTTATCCAAATGTTGCCTGGAAATGTGAGCATGCAGTAGCAGTAAACAAGCGGTTTGTGTGTCAGATATCTTTAGGGTGCCACGCAGCTGGGAGAACAGCAGCAGCCAGGCAGCTGCAGGGTGGTGGCCTCGGGGGAGCCCCCCGGCCGTTCGGAGAGGCAGCACACCCAGCCCAAGGCAGTGTTGCCCCCGTCTGACCAGCTCCTTCTGCTTCCCGCTGCGGCTCGTTGGCCTCTGGCTGACGGGTGCCGCGCTGGGCAGTCGCTGTGCCCTCCAGCCCTGGTCTGCAGATGTGGATGGCTTTCTTCCACAGATTTACATTCTCGTTTCCCCCCCAACACAGTGTCTGTAGCGGTCAGTTGATAGCTTAGTGCAGACATGATTGCTTTAGATATTTGTTCTCTGCTTCCTCCTGCTCTGGGAGGGGGGGACCTTGGCGCAAGCCCAGGATCGCTCACTGGATCTCCCCTCTCCCCTTTTCCCACTCGTGAAGGCACTCTGCCTAGCACGCTCCCATCATCTGGCCCAGGGTCCCCAGGGGATGACCTCAGGCATGTGACAGCATGGATTCACCAGCTGGAGGATGCCTCTAAGAAGCACAGACATTTTACACTCGGACTAGGGAGCACCCGCTTCCTTGGCCATCTTGCTGACCTGTCCTCTGTCAGCAGCTCACCTTTCACATCTCCTGGACTTTAAATCACTTAAATAGCTACAATCTGAGAAAGGCATTTGTCTGTTTAATTAATTATCCATCGCTTATGCTCTGCGCATTCAAACATCTGCTCCCTCAGTGATGTCACCAACACTGTGGCCGCAGATTTCCTGGTCTGCCCTCCGGTAAATCTGTGACGCTGACTATGGACCTGAGCAGGGGAATAGAGGAGAACATTTCAGCATGAACAGCTGCTGGCTGAATGCAAAAGTGATGGGCACCCTTTTAATCATCATCATCATCATCATCATCGTGATTTGCACTTCAGAAAGAGAATTTGGGTGCCAGAGTGTTGGGATGCTGTCCACACAACTATGATCATCAGATAAGCAGGAGAACAGAAGAAGGGATGAACATGCAAGCACATGAACACAGGGATGAGGGACCTGGGGGGAGGAGGGAATAGGGGAAGAGAAAAAAGGAGGGGGTAGACAGTAACGATTTACACCTTCCTCATCCTCATCAGCATGCAAGACTCGCAGGGGTCAGAGCAGAGATAAGGCTTATAAATCTGCCAATGTTTAAGCATCTTAAGCTGTCTGGCTTTTGTCTGGGGTAGGAAGGGAGGTGGAGGGGTCATTCCCTCACTCTGGGTGAGAGGATGGCAAAGCAGAGATTCTGTATTGAAAGTGTGGGAGGAATGCCCCAGACCGGGAGTGCAGGCGTGTTTACTCTGATCAAAGTAACCATAGTAAGAATATGCAGATTTTTAGGACAAAAAAAAAAAAAAAAAAGCACTCTTCAAGATTACTTCATCCTACAGGGTCCTTTTCACAGAGGCGTGTGAAGGGAATAACAGATGAGATATTCTAGGAAAGCCAGATGGGAATAACATAGTAAGCGTTCCTTTCATGCTGAAAATGGTTACTCTAGACAAATTCTTATGTCCTTACTCAGAAGTTCAGTGGGAAGTTTTCCCAAAGTAAAAGCCAGCTAAAGCTGATTAAGAATCTTGAGACTTGCCCCATATTAATTCAGCGCAGCTACAGAGAGCTCTTTATTGCATGTTTGAAAGAGCAAGCTTTCAAAGGAAGCTGGTTTCATCTGATAATTGCGTGGACCTGGGCTGTACTAACCCTGGGCAGTAACCTGGGACCAAGGGGCTGCAGGGGCTCCACTCCACATGGAGTACAACTCGTTGGCCTCATGGCACTTGGGCTGAAAGCCATCAGTGGCACTCAGCAGGAGAAGGTTTGGAGGTGGTTATCTATCAGCAGCCACCTGAGCCAGGGCAGCCTTAGAATCATAGAATCATAGAATGGTCTGGGTTGGAAGGGACCTCAAAGATCATGTAGTTCCAACCCCCCTGCCATGGGCAGGGACACCCTCCACTAGACCAGGTTGCCCTTTGCAGGTGGACTTCTGTCAGGAGGGCTCCTTACAGGTCCCTGGCACCCCTGAATGCCACCAAGAAACGGTGCCTCCAGAGCCCTGTGTGCATCACTGGAGCGAGCACAGGCTCCAGCTTCAACTGAACTGGCTGGTTCCCTGCAGAGCTCTCCCCTTTGATTTTCTGCCTGCATGTGGATGAGCAGTGATGGGGGATTTAGGGCAAATCTCATCCCTTTGCCCATTCGCACACGTTTGGCTCCCAGCTGCTGGCTGCCACTGCTGCACTTGGGCCACCTTGGTGGGGGCTTGCACTTTCCTGCTGTACTTGGCAAAGTGTCAAAGAACTCCTTGCGGTGATGGCAGCAATGACAGCACAATTTTTGAGGCAATCCTTTTTAGTCTGTTGAAATACATTTTGACAGCTAAAAATCTCATAAAGTGAATAAATGGCCTCAAAAAATTGCTTTCCTCTCAATCCCATGGGGATTTTTGACACTGTCTTTACTGAGAGCTGTATCAGCTTCTGCTTCTTCCCATATCAGCTTCTGTTTCTTCCAGGCTTGCAAATGAGTTAGCCCAGCAAGTGAAACTCTATTTGTATTAAACTGGAGGTGTTATTCTCCTCTCTCAGGTCAGTATTCTTAAGATGCCTTATGACTCCACACAGTTAAAAAATGTACCCTTAGAACAAGGTTTCCACGTCTTATTTGAATTCTTAAGAGAGTCTCGCCAAATATGTCCCATTTCAGCAAGGGGAACAAACACAAATCTTCTAGCTGGTTTGCAGCTATTTTTGAGTGCACTCGGCTATTTAGATTATAGGTAAACATATGGGAGACATAAAAAGCATCTATAGAGCAGAAGAATCTGAGAGGATCTGTGGTGAGGTCTGTCAAGAGGGCTGGCTATGAACCATCTTCCCACAGTACTTTGCAGATGTGCTATGCCTGGTAAGTGCAGCAGTATCATAGAATCATAGAATCACAGAATGGTTTGGGTTGGAAGGGACCTCAAAGACCATCTAGTTCCAACCCCCCTGCCATGGGCAGGGACACCCTCCACTAGACCACGTTGCCCAAAGCCCCATCCAACCTGGCCTTAAACACTTCCAGGGATCTTCTGTGGACCACCTATCCTGTGGACCTTCTTTCATTAGGCTCTGCAGTCATCGGCCCACCACTAAATTCCTTCAAGTTATGTGATCCTCCAAACTGTGCAGCTGGCTCCATGTGGATGGCTCATGTGTGTCTCTACACAGGGCTTTTTGGAGACTTGTCCAGGGGAAGCTCATGGGCAGGCACGGTGAGTCTGTGATAGGCTATGTGTACATGCATACAGCGCTATGGTAAACGGAGCTTAAAGGAATGCAGGTGCTTTGCCCTCTAGCCCATCGCTTTGCAGAGAAAATGGGCTTCCAAAAGCTGTTATGAACCATTCATGTTCATCTCCTTGGCAGCTGGGTAGTTGCTAGGGCTCCTGTGGGCCAGGAGCCATCTTAACCAGTAGCTCTGCTGTTTCAGTGCTACTGCTGCTACCACTGCTACCACAAGCACCTTCTTGCAATGTTGAGCAAGAGTGCAATGCCTGCATCGCCTGCAGCGGTGTCAGATTGGGCCAGGCCATGAGAAAGGAAATGCAGGTAACCGTCAGCATAACAGTGAAAATCACTATGGAGAGAGGACTTTCAAAACACAAAGAAAAGCAGAATGAAAAAGAAGAGAAGCATGCCTTGCCCCTATGTTATTTAAGACACAGTAATCCCACAGTAATAGGGGCAATGTTTTTCCATGAAACTAAGACTTTTAGATTGATAGTGTTTCTTTTAGCACTCATTTTGATGTATTGTCTTGTGCAAAAATCCTGGTGAAAACATAATAAATTCTGCTATATCAATATGCAAATGTATGCTAGATAAGGGACTTGTAATAGGTTCCTCTGAGACATATATCAGAGATATAACAGAGTTCTGTTTTTCACTGTCAGAAAGATTGTGACGGCTGAGGGCCCCCAGGAAGACATTTGATACAGAATCCTGTCTTTCCATATTAAAAAATAATCAGCTTTTGTAAATGAAAGTGATAGTTGTTAGCTGTTTTTTTGTAAGTCTAATCACTCTGCATCAAAGGAACCTCTCAATAAAGGAGGAAAATGTGCTCATCTACTTCAGTTTCACATATCAGCCAAACACGCTTCCAGAGACTATGCAACAAATCCTCACCGAGGGGAGCTACGGGTCACCAGTGCAATACAGGGAGATCACTATGACCATAAAAAGCAAATGAACAGGATGAGACCTACAAGCACATTGCCTCATGGCAAGCTCCAGCACAGAAAGGGCAACTTTCCTGACTGTAAAACCACTCACTGATGGTCCATGGTGCAGAAATGACTGTTGCTCAGGCTTATTTTAGGCTGTTTACTGCCGTAATGGATTTTTGTGTGGTCCCTCAAAATGTGGGGTGAGAGTAAATGAGAGTAAGCATCACACAGTTGAGTTTCTGGTGCAATCTGAAAGGAGGAGAGAGCCAACCCTCCCAAGAAGTGCAGTGGGAGGGCTGGAGAGCCAGGCCGAGGGCCATATGCAAAGTGTTGCTCTGGGCTGGATGTGCAAATTGACAAAATGTTGCCCTACACTGACCCCTAAGCTGCAGCTTCATTTGATGATAACATCATGGTTGTAAAGGACAGTGCTACGATTTGGTACCAACACGACTGTGAAGAGGAGGCAGAGCATTTCCAGCCTCTCATGATGCTGGTGAGCAGATCTGGGGTAACTGGAAAATGCTGCTGGTTTTGCTGGTCCTTGCTTGGCTCACTATGGAGAACCCAGCCACTGATGTTTTCATTAAATTTGACATGAACACATTTGTGGCATTGTTCTCCATGTTTGCAAATCTTCTGCCCTGGAGGGTTTGTGCTGCTGTTCAGCACTGAGGTCTTCCCCAGCTACTGACAGCAGCAAGGGGTCCTGCGGTCCCTGGGGTGTCCCCTCCTCCGGAGGAGCTGGCGCTTGCTCGGGTTTGGCTCCTTGTGCTCACTTTGAACTTTGTTAGTTCTTTTGGGATTCTCTTTGTTTTCTCATGAGGACAAATACAGCTAGGAAAACACTAATTGATAGCCTGTTTACCCTACCTGGGGGAGAGGGAGATTTGTAAGGAACAGACTGTCTTCTAATGTAAATATTCCATGGGGTTTGTCATGGCACGGAGACAGGGAGGTCTCTGCGTCTGAATGCTCTGTAACTCAGACATGGGAACGCAATGCAGAATAAGTGAAAGACGACACAACAACCCTACTTTTGCAGCTGAGCTTTGTATCTGGTCTTGCTGAAGCAGCGCAAGTGCTGCCGTTAGTTACTGTTTGGAGGACATGGGAAGAGCCCTGGTAGAAAGACAAGGGCACCATGTGTTAGGCTGACTCCATACACACAGTTTGCCATCACAGCCTGTAATTTGTGTGCATTCCTTTCCCTTGATTTCCAGCACAAATATAAATCTGAATAATACAGTACATAGTTAGCATCTCAAAATTTCCAGGGAAAGAAAGGATCTTGATAACAGGCTTTTTTTTTAAACAGTGCTGCATTATACAGGCTCAAGCTGTGTAAATATACCACCATATCAAAAATGTTTTAAAGCTTTCAGTAGAGTGATGTGCCTCAAGGGTAAAAACACGTCAGAGGAAGCCAAAGTGGGGTGGGACTCCTACTAACACCACAAGAAAATGCATCCGAAGAAGCTATGTATGGAATCATCGTCTATCCAGATAAGATTTATCTATACTGGCAACTTAATATGAAGATAGCTAGGATGATACTAAGTACGCAGACCTTGCTGGAATTAGGCAGACAGACATTGCTTAAAATATGTGAGCTGGTTCTCCATAACAACATGATTTCAAAGTAGATTTGCTTCTTTGCAGGCAGGGAGCCTGCCTTCCTTATAAGTACACTACCTGGTTGATCTAAGATACCTACTTCGCCCAACTAATTAATTGTAATTAATTGACAGTGATTTCCCAGGGGACAGAATCACATTTATCAGAAGGTTATTTGCTGTGCTCCTGCCTAACGTAACTCCCAAAAGAGAACTTCCCACACAGCATGTTGCTCAGGAAAAACTTGTGATGGATATCAAATGCTGTAGTTTGAATTGTGACATGATCTTTGCCAAAAGAAATAGCATTTTATATTCAAGCCATCATACAGATAACCAAGAACATAAATACTGAAATAATGCCAGAGTTTTTAATTCAGTGTCTCATTGCAACATTGCTTCATAATTTGCTTGGAAGGAGGGAGGCTAAGGGGTGCCTCTGAGCAGCACATACCTGCACGATTTCCAGCATCTCTGACTTACTGATGTAGCCGTTCCCATCAAGGTCGTACATGCTGAATGCCCACTTCAGCTTTTGCTCCAGTTTACCTCTCGACGTTACGCTCAAGGCTATGATGAATTCTCTGAAATCTATTGTTCCATCTCCGTTGGCGTCAAAAGTGCGGAATACATGTTCCGCAAACTTAGAAGCGTCCCCATAAGGGAAAAAGTTCCCATATATTTTTTTAAACTCCTCCATAGATAAATGTCCACTTGGACAGTCTCTCAAGAAGCCTTTGTACCACTCCTGGATCTCGTGTTCTGTAAAGTCTGTACTTTCTAGCAAATCTTGCATGACTTCAGGGCGTAGTTTGCTGTTTTGCTTTCCCATATTGGTGTCAAAATATTAACTGCAGAGGAAAAACAAGCATATGAATAATAATACTAATTATTTTATTATCATTATCATTATTAACTACTTAGTAACTATTAGCTTAGAGGTTGCAGAAGAACAGTGTGCTGGATTCTGAGTTTTCTGATGAAAGTTCATTCTTGGGAATCAATTGAAACTTTGGGTAGTGCGCACTACTACAAGTACACTCTGAAAAAAATAACAAGCCGTGTTGATTACATTGTCTTTTCACAGCCTGGAGAACTGTAATTACATTTAATTTATTGCCATCCTACTTTGTCTTTGAAATCACGAGGTAAGCAATGGGTGTTGCAAGGGGTAGCTGACTGGTAGCTGTGTGTTGCAGCATGCCCTCCAGCCTGGTCACCCAACTGTCTCAAGGACCTGACCTGAACGAGATAGATACATTTTTTTGTCCCTCTGCTGGAAACCAGGTTGCTACAAAAGGGTTATGTTCACTTGCTCTCGCTCCAAAATGGCATCAAGATGCATCTGCAGTGTACACTGAAACCAGGAGCTCCAAAGCCCTTCTAGGTATATCTTTATAGCCAGAATCAAACAAAGCAACCCAGAAGTTGCCTCTCTGGTTTGGCATGGACTAATTCCCATTTTAGTTCAAAATGCAGATAAAATCTGAAAAGATTTTATCAATGGTGGATTCCCCCACCCCAAACTATTTCTGTGTTTTTAAATTCTCCTTGTAGCCAGAAATTGTATCTATTTATTACTAAGTAATAGTAATCTGGGTGGTCACAGCTCTTTGGAAAAAACCCTTTAAAATAAAGGAGGAGAAAAAAAAAGTACACAGACAACAAAATTGGAAATTCATTTTCCTTAAATTAACCATTAAGAAATATTATTGGATACAGCTTCTGTTAAATCACTTTAATTATATTTTGTTTAAGACAAGTTGCTACGTATCACATTATGCAGCAGATTTACTAATGACTGATGCCCTTTGGGTTTTAAGTTTTGGAGCCTGAGTGTGTTGGCTCCAAAAAGCAACATCATCAGTTTTACTGGAAGCTTAGCATTACACCTGAATTATGGGAAGCTATTCTCTATCAGGAGAAACCTGCCTGAGAATTTGTCATAGAATCATAGAATGGTTTGGGTTGGAAGGGACCTCAAAGATTATCCAGTTCCAACCCACCTGCCATGGGCAGGGACACTCTCCACTAGACCAGGTTGCCCAAAGCCCCATCCAACCTGGCCTTGAACACTTCCAGGGAGGGGACATCCACAACTTCTCTGGGCAACCTGTTCCAGTGCCTCACCACTCTAACAGTAAAGAATTTCTTTCTAACACCTAATCTAAATCCGCCCTCCTTCAGCTTAAACCCGTTAAAACTTGTCCTATCACTCCATGCCCTTGTAAACAGCCCCTCTCCAGCTTTCCTGTAGGCCCCTTCAGGTACTGGAAGGCTGCTATAAGGTCTCCCCGGAGCCTTCTCTTCTCCAGGCTGAACAAGCCCAACTCTCTCAGCCTGTCTTCATAGGAGAGAAGCTCCCGCCCTCTGATCATCTTCGTGGCCTCCTCTGGACTCGCTCCAACAGGTCATGTGAATGACAGTCACAACTAAGATCTGATGTATGGATAACTTAAGTAGAATTGCAAAATAATTTATACAAGATTCCCACACAGTTGTCAGAATGGAGTCTCTGGGCCACAGAGATGGATCTGTGAACAATGTCTGTAGTGGCTAATGAGCATTCAATAAAATGTCTTCTCTAGACCAAGGTAATACTACTTTTAAAAAATGAAGAATAATACAGTATCGTGACATGTCAGAAGCAGCTAGTGAGAAATATACCACCATTTGAAGGTAATCTCCTGTCTCTTCTATTTGGCACTGGGAAGAAGACATTGAGGCTCCCTTGGGTTGATGCTAATTGTTTCCTGTGGTGAGAAGCTCCCCTTCTCCACAAGGTGAATTTGAACTCCCCAAGGCAGCTAGGGAACCGACTCCTTAATTTCCTGTGTTCTTAGGCCAGAATGACCAAAAAGCTTTGTTTCGCAAAGGTAAAATGGTGGTATCCATCCTAGATTTATCTGTGTCTCCACAGGATCCACTGATGGCTGCCTGGTAACTAGATGTCTAATCTAAACTCATTGCCTACACAGTTGATGTAGGATAGGGTCCCCTGTTCACAGAGAGGAGACTGAAAGGGGTGAGGAGTCTTGCCCGATGGGAGCCTCTCCATCCCCTGACCATTTCAGGGGCCTGGGTGACTACCTTGATCCAAACAATGTCTTGTCCTCCAAAGTGTCTCCAAAACACTTAGAAAGTGGAAGATGCCACCTCAAGGGTAATTTTTTCTATTGCCTTTCCTCCTTTCATCATGATCAAAACATGCTGTACAGTTTTTAAGTAATCCAAGCTCTTAATACCCTGAAAATAGCAAAAAAAGTCCCTGTTTTATAGACCTGGTCCAGCAGCTGCCGAGGCAGCTGAAGGTTGCGTTGCCTTCAGTGGGTGTTGGACGGGGTCCATAATAAACAACCTGGGAATTAGCTGAGTGAACGGATTACATTAGGGCAGCCAGACGGGTTTATGTCAGGCAAAACAACACGAGCAGGGTCTGTCAGCAGGATGAAAAGCAACTGGACAAGTGAGGTGACCAGGCTTAGTTTAGAGCAGCACCAGCTTAATAAAGAACCAAACCAGTAAAATCCCCAGAGTAGGTAGCAGCTACTCACACCCACAGTTGGCAGCTATTCTGCAGCCCCAGGGGCTGCACACTTTTCAGACTGTTAGAGTAGAAAGGGAAGATCTCTGACTAATGTGCAAGCCAGCTGCCGTAGGAGTGAGCTGGCATTAGCGATATAATCCCTCGCTGCTTTTTAATATCTCAAACATATGAAAACGCAAAACTCGGCTTGCACACTTCCAGTCCAGAGTCTTTTGAAAAATAAAAGAGTGAGGTAACATGCAGGCAGTGGCTTTCAAGAAGTAGCTGATAAGAATGTGTTTCAGTCCAAAAAATGATGCCTTTATAGCTGCACGTGGCTGCAGGTGCAACATATTTTTCCCAAATAATAAACATACAGAGTAGCAGAACGTACTGCATTGCATTGGTAGGAGCAAAACATCACAATCAGAAAAATCTATGTTCTCCAGGCACAGAGAGAGCGCTAACCATATGTGACTTGCAGTTAGGGGTTGAGCCGCTGTGATGCCAGGCACCACAGTCAAAACCAGTAGGATTATTCCTGAGTCCACTTGTGATGAATTTGTATGATGTTCTTTGTCCTCCAGAGTGTTCCTTATTAATAGGTGGTGTTCTAGGAACCGTAACGATGGGATTTATTTTGCCCGTTCTATCAACAACAGATCAAAATGCTTTTGCAGTCCAAGTACAGAAAATCCTTGAAGACACTTGAAGATCCTTATAATCACTTCATACACTGCTGCCTGCCTCTTCAGGAGAGATTAGATTATGGGCAGAGTACTGTGAGCGAGCTGAGAGAATGTCACCTAACACTGACAGCAATAAATGCAGAGAATGAAATAAAATTGGATCTGATTTTAGGCATTTTTTTCACACTTCATGCCCTCTGTAGATCTTTCAAATTTCTAATACGTGATTAAATGTTAAAAATACAACAAGTAAATAGTGAACGGCAATCTTAGTGGCAAAGTAAAATTTTGACAATACTGAGAAATGGATGTTGTAGATCTACAAAACAAAGACAAATGAAGTGTTCAATGATTATGCTTAATTACATGTCTACAATTTCTTCCTTTGATACAATGGCATACTATATATGAATGACTGCCTATATGGGACAACATGACATACAAAAATATTAAGGTCTTAATTCCGAAGGCAATATTGTTTGGTAAAAGAATGTGATGTGTTTGTGGCTTGAAGGGTTGATACCATTTCAGCCAACAACTATAGAAGATCAGAAGGGAAAGCATCACTGCTGTGTGGTTGCTATGGAAAGAATCTCTGTTCATTGATTCTTGTAACAAATGTCATAGGTGCTGCTCCGTAAAGTAAATACTTAGAGCTTGCTCTAATCAGGTCCAGGTGCAGAGTTTTTAAGACAAGACTGAAGACAGAGCTTTTTGACGGACAACAGGCTGTGACAATTCAGCATCTAAGAGAATAACTAGGTGTAGTAGTGACTGACACCACACCAACAGACTTTCTCTGCAGTATATGGTGTGCAGACAGGACATGGATGCTCTTAGAGCCTTCTCCTCAAACAGGGAGAAGTGACTGGACAGAAAGGCAATGAACACTTACTCTATCATGTGTCTCTTGTCAGCAGTTTGCTGCTGCTCACATACAGTTGTTACCTCGATCTGAAACCGCCGGGCAAGGCAAACATGCTGCCCGCTGAAGCAACGGCCTCGCAGGAGCTGGGAAGCTGCAGCAGCCGAGAGCGTGCAGCAGCTCACCCATTGCTGTGCGAATGCCGTGCAAGCATCTACACACATTGCCTAACGAGAAATCAAACCGATTTTTTTCTGTTGGGGGTTCGCTATAATAAGCAAGTGCTAGCAACACATTTCTAACAATGTTCTTGCTCTTCAAACCTTTTTCTCTCTTTTTTTCTTTTTTCTTTTTTTTTCCTTTTTTTTTCCCCTTTGTTGTTGTTGGTGGTGGTGTTGTTGTTGTTGAGCTCAGTCCACCAAAACCAGCAAGACATCTTAATTTTGATTTAGGCTTAAATGTGGAGGAAAGATCACTGCTGTGAAAAGGTAAAATGAGAAAGGAGCACTTGTTCAGGGGGAAGAGTTGCTCTAAAAATGGAGCATTTGGAATACTGAGTACTTCGTAGCTAACAGGGTACAAAGCACCTGAAAGGTGTAAAGAATCAGTTTGGAGGCAAGTCCTGCCTGATATATTTACAGTGGGGACAGCAAGAGAAATCACACCATAGCCTTGGCTACAGAGACCAATTGTGTAAGAGTGAAGGCAGAAAACTTTTCAGAAAGAAGCAATGAAAGTTCCATTTTGTGATTTCAGTGCTATTCCACAATTTAAAATT